TGGTATGGGAGAAATAATCCAACATTTACAAATTTAGGAAATTTGCTTGCAGGACTAGCAGAACTGTACAGAGCTACTACAACTAGGTTTCCATCTTACTTCTGTCGTTTGCTCTGGCCTAGACATTTAAAAGGACGCGGATCTAGTTGTCTCTCCTTAATTAACCTCACATTTGCAGATACAAAATGAGTACTGTATACTTTACCTTCTAACGCATGCAGCCTTCCCTAGGCGCAAGGGCCTTATTTGTACGAGGACGGATGACTGCATAGTAATTGCGTTCCCAGCCAATAAGCCCTTTTGGATGACTTATTTATCAAAGACGTCAGAAGTACGCTAAGGTAACCGGTTTTACTAAACTGGCCTCTAAGTCAATGCGTGTAGTTCACATCTACAGTAGGTTACCTAACTCATGAAATCCAAGTAACAAATAACTCCCTCTTACTCAAACGCAGCGCAAGCTGCGGCTCCCGTAGTCCTGCAGAAATAAAGCAATGGTTATTCTTTATAATAGGGCACATTGTGATATGTGAAGGAATATAAACTTTTATAGAAATATTAGCTTTTTTGCAAAGTGAAAAATTCCGAAAAACTGGAAATCGGGCTTACTAGGTAAACTTAAGTTTTACATGTTGAGGAAGCCTGTTCACGCAAAACCACCGAGAGAATAAAACAGCATACGGTAAAATTACGTTGCAAAATTATCCTGTTCTAAAGTTTTCGGATACATATACTGCCATATTACCTGCAATATAATGTTACTGAAGAGCCCTTATTTAGAGTATGTATTCTCACAGGTTTTCACGAGAATGCTAGTTGTTTATTTCGTTAATGCATCGCTCGAGTTACGTTGGACTAATGCAACCACGTTTTTGCTTGATATGCCCCATTGGGAGATGTCAGGAATAATATATTTCTTAAGCTGACGAGCGGACATGCCGGTCAGTGTCTAATCCATTTGAATGGAACTGTCAGGTACAATTGTAATCGTACCATTTTTTTACACTAAGAGTAATTGCCTTCCGCCATGTTCTTTAGTAATTATTTTTATATTTTCATTACGAAGAGCAGCAGATCTTCCTAGAAATGCTAATTAAGACTTTACGATTTTAACTGGCGTCAGTCTTTTGCCAATAAATAATGATTCTATTCTACGTGCTTACCAAAACCTTCAAAAAAAGATATATCTTAAAAACAATTTACCTAAATAACGACCTTTTAAACACTTTTTATACAGCTCTCTGTGTGCCATGGATTCAGAATCACCTAAACAAATCAACTCATCGCCGAGAAGCATGAAGGTCCACAACAAAAGTCATGGATGAATATGCCTAAGATTGATCTAAAACTTTTATTTAACAAGTCACCGCTTGAAAGACAGCTTTAGTTATGCATTTTGGCGTCATTTTTCTGTGTACTTTATTTTTTTTGAAGATAAAGTCAAGATCAGAATGGGAAATTTTGGCCACTTTATTGAGTTCCCTAAAAACTGTGCACATATTTTCTGTTATAAATTCAAGACTAACTTTTCTATTTAAATCGGAACAGTATTAAGTATATTAGGTTACTTCTAACCTCAGTTGTTATATAACAAATGCAGAGCAGAGTGGCAATAAAATCAACGGCGATTTTTGAGAAAACTGTATCGCAATGTCCCGCGACAACTGACTCAAATGTGTGCTATGTTAACTGTATTCAACTTTATATTGACTGTACAATTGATTTAGTTACTATACCCTAATAATAATCACTCTTCAAATATGCAATATAAAATTTTAATTGTGGTGTAGCGCATAACAGCCTTAATATTTTATTACTCAATGTTATGGCACAAAACTTTAAAGGTCTGCAAAATAGAATTTTTTTAAAATTATTTCACTCTTCTGTTTTAAAAAATTAATTGGCTCATAAAAACTCTTAATTCAATTTTAAAGGACGCAAAACAATATATTCCGTCTTATGAACAGATATAACTAAAAAGTTCCCGCTCTTCATAAAATGTATTTTTATAGTGCAACACGCACAAAAAAGAAGTTCTTTTCCGCAACTTTTAATAGCGTAGGAAATTTCTCGAACATGAACAAACGATGGGTGTCGCCCATTTGCGCTTCTGTTTCTCCCAGTATACTAATCTGAATGGAAGTAAATTCTATAAAATATCATTTTGCGCCTCCAGTCAACGCAGTGAACTAAATAAACAACCTTAAATGTGTGTTAACTCCCCCAATCACGAACTATTCATCAAATTTGTAATCTACTGTACATGTTATTTCTGTATACTGTACCTTCTGCCTTTTGCGTCCTGTCCTTTAAACCACTGCCTCATTTAGTCGAAAACGGAGTATCGTGTAAGGTTTAAATCTTTCCGTGAGCTGGAGTGTTCTTGCCGGTTATTCGGTTAGGCAAATGTCAGGTTGGAAATACAGAGTGATTTTAGTTTTTTTACAGAAAGTTTAAGTTGAACGTATTTCGTAGTTTTTGAATGAATCTGCGAAATGTTGACAGGCTTCCGGGTGATTATCGGGAAAACTTTACTGTTCTTAACAAACACTAAGTACTTCTTACACTTATTTTAAGTTTTAAATATGCCCAATGCTGTTCATTATTATTTCTCAGTTTTCCTAAATGCATTCGCACTGGAATTGGAGTTATGATCAAACATTAACAAAGTTATAAAAGTTGCACGATTTTTAGTAAATACTGTGCTATATATACATTTAGACCCATGCTCCTTTTCCTATGTGCAAGCGCAAAATGTCTACGAAAACCAAGTTGGCAATAGAGGAGAATATACGAGTTCCAGGCAGCAGTTCCGAAGAAGAAGATGCGATCACTGGAACAAACACTTTATTTTCCTGACGTTTCGGATTCCGTCGGGAATCCTTAGTCATAGGTACGAAGAACAGTCTGAAACATGCGCAGATAGGGTTATACATGCACAGATAACACGGTATTTATAGTTACTGTCCTGACGTTTCGGATTCCGTCGGGAATCCTTAGTCATAGGTAATCGTAAGCCTGGAAATTCGCAGACCTGTTTACGATAACCTATGACCAAGGATTCCCGACAGAATCCGAAACGTCAGGAAAATAAAGTCCTTGTTCCAGTGATCGCATCTTCTTTGTTCTGTTCTTATTTATCATACGAGGTTCGTTTAATTATGGTCAAGATACGTGTTCCGAAACGTCAGGAAAATAAAGTCCTTGTTCCAGTGATCGCATCTTCTTCTAAAACCAAGTTATCACGTGGATTCTAGATTGATTTTTCATTAAATCTGCCAGTTCGCTTACTGTATACGAAGTAATGGAGCACATACCTTATAGTATCCTGGGCTAGTACATTTACCCAAATGTGATTCAGTGCACGACTTCCTGGGCGACGTTAATGGTGTTAATTCGAATTCCTTAGGGGCTACTGACATTTTAAAAATTAGGTGCAATTAATTATTCAAGTCTGCCATCAACCCTCCTCCCTACTAATAAATATCGACGTTTTTCATATGGCGTCCCCGGACCTGCGTCGGCGATTGCCTTGATAGTAAGCTCCACTAAAACTGTCGGGCTAAATGTAACCTGTACGTTAAAATTGAACCTTATTATACTACATAGGTGTGACTACGCAACCCTTTTTTGTAGTTAAATCTCGTGTGAGTTCTCCCCATTCCCATAGCTCGAGCCGTTCAGCGAACCTCAAAGGTAAGTCAGTACAACACGCGGTAGGTGTTAAAGATGCCAAGGGTTTTACTCAGATTTCCTCAAAGATGCAACAGACAATCAACAGAGGAAGTTAACGTACACAGATTATCGAAGTTTTATTTGGCAGCAAACGATTCCAGAGACGGGGCGACGCATTAACGCCCTCTGTCGAGATGGCAGCATTGCGAGGCTGGCGAGTTGTGTCTTCATGCGTAAACAAATATGCGCACAACTAGAGGGCAGAGTTTGGACTTCCAACAAAAGGAACAACACGAGGACTAAGCTAACCGGATGCTAAACGTTTGTTTTCATCCAATCATTCTCGAGAGACGCTTGGGATAAGGTCACCGCACTGCCTCCCCTCTACTTCAATATATACATACATTGACAGCAGACATGACATTAGGCAGGTCACCGATAACCACCGCACACACACAGACAGAATGCAAGCACTGCCTCAATTCTCCAGATGTCTTAAGCCAACGGAAGGTCCCTGTGCCGACAAACCCAAACTCATCCGCAGCGATCTCAATGAAAAATTGGAGACCTTCTTCCTAGAGATGGTACTTAGCGCCAGTAAGGCCTATGACACTGACTATGACCTTGCCTGTGCTATAAAGCAATGTCTAGACAAGAAGTTCGGCCCGCAATGGCATGTGATTGTGGGAGGACTGTTTGGCAGGTGAGTGTCTCCTAGTTTGCCACTTAGTCCCAGCGTATTTATTTTTTGCTTTACGAATCTGCCGCCTTGTGTGTTTAATTTTTTGATGATCAGTTAGACGAGCGTTCCCTAATTTTTTCTATTTTGTTTCTTCAGCTCCACGGTTCCTGTGGAAATAAACTTGCCCCTTTTTGTTTAAACAAAATAAACCCTTCAAGGATCCTAGGTTAGAAACATTTTCAAATCACCGATCCATACTTCCGCTGTCTCATTCGTCCATCTCGACATTCAAGCCTCGCCTGTTTACACTTTTACATTAATTATCCAGTATAACGTTGCAATTTGATTAAAATGTGCAAACTGAAATCCACACGATGTTCACGACAGGAAAATGTTTAATTTCTGTACCTGTAGAACACCAGCATAGGTAAAACAAGGACTGCGTTGGGCAAACCGTGATTAGACATTGTTTTCGTCACATTTATCGGCCGTTTTCATTACGCAGTAGAGACTAACGTACGTTTGTGAAATGACAAAGCAAAATCCAGAAATTAATCCGCTAAATATAACAAATGAGGGAGGAAGGACTGCATTGGTGTCAAAAACCGCTTTGTGCTCTGACTTAAAATAATCTGAAAGAATGTGTTTCCCCTACTGGGTTCATTAAAGACCATTGAATCTCCTTTCAAAGAGTGAATTTTTTTACTAGGACACTTTTGCTCAGTTCAGTTTAGTTTATTAAAACAAAATACATGCAAGTTGTGGTATCAGTTGTTTATCATTAAAAACAGGGCTGTGAGAAGACTCTCCCCAGAGAAACGAGATGAAGTATTAAGACGATTCCTTCGAGAGCAACTCAGCTTATTGACGATGCCGGATGGCGTGATCCACTAAGACGGAACAAAAGCAAGAATACCAGATAGCGAATGGTACCTATAGATATTTTCGAACAAAAGGTCGTTGCTCATGCTGGACAAATGAAGAAGTGATCGGACCGGGGGATAGTAGGCGTAACCAACCGGAGAATTGGAAACATTACATATGCAATTTGTAACAACAGCCTAAGGCTACCCTGAAAATCTGTGGTCTCAAAGCTTCAGGCATTTACCTCCATTATACGAAAGGTTTTCAGGGATACATACGGTACTGGTGGATGCTAGTATCGGACTAATTTATAATTGTTAGATTATTCTTGTTGGATCAAACACATAGAGTAGCATAAGACTTTAATGTCATCCCTTTCGCCAAGGGTAGGCTACAGCTTAATATCAAGTAGATTTTTGGATGTAAAAAAAAATAGCCAAACTTTGAGGGTTATATGTATAACTGTACACGCATTCGTGGCGGAATGCAGTTGACTGCAACATATTTATATATGCTTCTATAAATATGGCTAGCTGATGACGGTTTTTAAGCAGGGAATTCCCCTTTCAGTCTCGCTTTTCTTCGTCGATAATCTACTTCGGCCCACAGGATATCCTTGTACTTGGGCGATTGCTGATGGGCTCCACGAGCGAACCCCAGAATACAGCTGGATGCACCTCTGAGCGCCTATCTACTATGATATATATATATATAT